TCACTGAAGCAATTTCAATGGAATAGTAAAAACAGTCGTTTGTATTTTTCTCATTTTTTCTCTCTCCATTCTCTGCCTTGAAAGGCAGAAAAACACGCCTTTATAGGCAAGGAAGTAGGGCAACCTAGAAAAGTTCAGCTTTGCAATTAGGCCCTTTTCCAATTTTTTTTTTTTTTTTTGCCTAGATAGCCTTAGTTAAATATCTGAAAATCAACTTACACCCCCCACCCAGCTTCCTAGAAGCTTCTCAATTCAGTTATACCAAGATTCCCCTAAGCAGATTACCCAACTTACCCCTCAAGCCCCTAAATATTACTCTTGAAACCAAATACGGGTCAAGTTGACCTAGTAGCTTGAACCAAACCACACGATTTCTATCAAGACCTAGGCCAAGCCCCTTCCTTAGGCCCAGGTCTAACTCTGCAATTAATTGGAAACGAGAAAGAAAATGAGACAATTCGAACTCCTGAACCAACAACTCAACACGGCCCAAAAATTAAAACAAAGAAATTAGACACACACTAGTTTAACAAATTTGAACTGAACAGAGAAGCTAATAGGTGATGCTGATTCCACAAAAACGAAACAAACCACATGCAACAATGATTTGAAAACTAAGGAAAGATAAGGAAAAATAAAAGAAACTAAGAGAGGAAATGACTGGGAAATTGGACTTACCAAAGCGAATCTGAGTTAAATTACCATTTCCATAGAATCCCCCATACTCTGCGGCCGAAATAGACTTCAATCATATGTTCTCGACTGAAAACAACCCGACGGAAGTCCATATCAACCTCAAAGGACTTGAAACCTTAATAACCATCTTTTTCTTTGATTTAGGGTTGAGCTTTGATCTGAAATTTGGGCAAGTCCGGGGACATTCGAGGGAAACTGGTTTGGGATTTGGAAAGAGGAGGGTGTGATGGTTGTTTGGTGTTAATTTGGGCGGGATTGGAGTAGGCACCGCCGGGCTCGAGGTGGGAAAAAGAGGGGCGGCGGATTAGGGTTGGGGGTGGTCTCTGAAGAGACGAGGGTGAGAGAGGGATGATGAGAGGGGGGTAGGAGTTCAGATAGTTATATACGGGGGAGGGGTTAGTTCTGGTTCGTTGGATCTTGTTAATCCAACGGTGGGGATGGGAAGGCTTAAAACGACGTCGTTTGGTTTGCTGGTGGGGGCGGACCGGGTTTGGGGACTGGGCTTGGGCAAATGGGTGGGAAATATTTGGGCCTTGGCATTGGACTGGGCCAATTCCGAGTCTCTAAGTCCAATTCCTCCATTTTCTATTAATTTTATTAATTCCGTTTCTTTTCTCTTTTCTTTCTTTCATTTTTTAAATTCCTTTTGTTTTATTTTTCTCTTTTTTTTTCATAATTAAATTAATTCATTAATTAATCCCTAGAACCTAATTAACTTAAACGAAAACACTAATTAAACCTAAATGATAATTAATACAATTAATTAAAAACAAATTAAAAGGAAAACTACTCAAAATAAAAGTTAAGATTAAAAGTGCAAATTCAACTATTTTTTTGTGATTTTACTTTTTTTAATAAAATAAATTAATTACTTAATTAATCCTAACATGTTAAATTAAATCCTAAATACAAATGCACCTACATATTTTTTATTTTTTCATTAATTAAAATGCACAGACAAAATGCAAACAGTTAGCATAAAATACCACAAAAATCCATAAAATTGCAAATGAAAAAAAAATTATTTTCTTGAATTTATGGGAGTAATTCATATAGGGCAAAAATCACGTGCTCACAGCTGCCCCTCTTTGCTCGGAAACACGAATAGTTTTCGTGCAAAGATAAAGTGAGCGGATACGAGCGATTTTTGCCCGTTTGAATACTCCGAGGGAAGTATTTTTGAAATATTTGACCGCACCCTGCTTCCGAGATTGCCTACATATCCTTGGCTATAAAGGAATCAGGTCAGTGTAGTTTGGGAAGTTCCGGTAGTTGGGACTACCATAAAGCTGTGATTTCACTGTTGTTTCTGTTGCTGCTACTGCTTACTGAACCCTTTATTACACCATGATAAAATAAAAAGAAGCTAGACTAGACTATGATCTATGCATTACAAAATCCTATCTATATCTTCAAACTTGCTCTTGTGGTTCTTGCCTTGTTGACTTGTATTCTCCCGGTGGAATCCCCTTGTTGCTGCCTTGAATTGTAATCTGAGATATTTTCCCTTTCTCCAGGTGGACGCCTGATTGTTGAAACTTGAATGTATTCCCTTGTTCTCCAGGTGGGCTTCTGATTGCTGAAGCTTGAATTTATTCCCTTGTTTACCAGGTGGGCTCCTGATTGCTGAAACTTGAATGTATTCCCTTATTCTCCAGGTGGGCTCCTGATTGCTGAACTTGAAATGTATTCCCTTGTTCTCCAGGTGGGCGCCTGATTTCCACAAAATAGACAAAAATAAAGAAAACTTCTGCCCTAGTTTGTTATGTTACCAAATATCAGTAAGAACTTGAAAACTAAAACTTGAACTATACTCCCTTGTTCTCTAGGTGGGCGCCTGATTTCTGAACTTGAAATGTATTTCCTTGTTCTCCAGGTGGGCGCCTGATTGCTGAACTTGAAATGTATTTCCTTGTTCTCCAGGTAGGCGCCTGATTTCCACAAAATAGACAAAAATAAAGAAAACTTCTGCCCTAGTTTGTTATGTTACCAAATATCAGTAAGAACTTGAAAACTAAAACTTGAACTATACTCCCTTGTTCTCTAGGTGGGCGCCTGATTTCTGAACTTGAAATGTATTTCCTTGTTCTCCAGGTGGGCGCCTGATTGCTGAACTTGAAATGTATTTCCTTGTTCTCCAGGTGGGCGCCTGATTGCTAAACTTGAAATGTATTCCCTTGTTCTCCAGGTGGGCGCCTGATTGCTGAAACTTGAAATGTATTCCCTTGTTCTCCAAGTGGGCGCCTGATTTCAACAAAACAGACAAAAACAAAGAAAACTTCTGCCTCAGTTTGGCTGTTGGGCACATATGTGAGTGTTAAACTGAATCATATTACCAAATATTACTAAGAATTTGAAAGCTACGTCCGGTTATCCAGGAGGGTCCTGACAGCTCCCAGTTAAATGACAGTTTTAACTCTAAATTATATCTTCTAAAGGTACTACTTTCGCTACATCTTGTTTATCTAAGAAAGTATTAAAGCTACATCCCATTATCGAGGAGGGTCCTGAGAATCAAAAATTAAGTTTTATCTTAAGAGTGACTGTTTTACGGCTAAATTATATTACCCTACAATAGAACTTACGCTGCATCTTGTTATCTGATGGAAATCCTAAAGCTAGGTCCCATTATTCAGGAGGGCCCTGAAAACTCCTAATTGAATCATATCTTAAACATGCAAACTTTGAAACCATCTTATATTCCTTGGGATACATTTATGCTAGATTTTACTACTCATGATTGTTTTGAACTTTAAACTAGGTCCCATTTTTAGGAGGGTCCTAAGAACTTCGAATTTAATCCCATTATCTAGGCAGGACCTGAAAATTTACAGCCAAACCTATTTGGTGCTCGCTTTTCTTTACGAAGGGTTTCCCCGAAACAAACGAAACTTTTTGCCCCTGTTTCAAGAAAAATCTTGTCAGTTTAAAATGTGGTGGTTAGCTGATGGAATTCTTGCTGAAAGTGGCCTCCTTGTTGTCGTGCTTCGTTGTGACTGACTTCCCATGGACTGGCCAAGAACAGCTTGGCTTTCTGACTGATTTTCAACCCACGTGACCTCGGATGACCCGAGTGTTCTATACCCGAACCGTTGTTTCACCTCTGACCCCTTTTACTGAACTTCTGCATCTCCTATGAAATTACTGAATCATTCCGCTGATGGAATATTCACTGGCACTTTATATCCCATTTCACATCATACTACCTCTAGCAATGCCTCAACTGCCCTACGCCTTGTGCAACTTTTGAAGTTGGTAGTAGGCTTTGGAATTCCTTCTTATTTGCTTAAATAGAACTGACATTAGGAACATCTTAGAGAAATAAACCCAAAAGAAATGAAATGGAATGACTTTCAGAGTTAAGGATAAGCAAAATCCAAAACGGGAAGACTATCTAAATGGAAAAAAGAAAAGAAACTTATCTGAGTGAAGCAGCTGGCACCAATGATCATGACATTTCCGATTAATCGACCCAATCTGTCCAACGAGTCAACTTTCAATTGCCATACTTTGTTGCCCCGGAATTTCCATAACTAGACTTCTTCACCAAAACCTTGACCTTGTTTGGCTTGCGGTGCCCTGAAGAGTTTTCACCAACAAGCCTCTCTCATTTGTTCATCTCTCAGCTCACTTTCGCCTCAAGGTGCCCGTGAGGGTTTTCACCAATAAGACTCTCTCATTTTTATTATTTCTCTCAGCTCCCATCGCCTTACGGTGCTCGTGAGGGTTTTCACCAATAAGACTCTCATTTTTATTATTTTTTCCTGCCTGGACCAGAGTGCTGCCCCTGATACAAATCACCTCTACTTGCTCGACTTGGAAACTCTCAAAGACTGATCGAAAGGTCTTTCTTTGGACCGTAATGTGGGTTTTTGGATAGGGTTAGTGTCACGACCCAAACCAATGGGCAGTGATGGGCACCCGATACCTTACTTAACCGAGTACCAACATAACGTATCTGTCGTATCATAATATCATGGGCAAATAGCCTAGAAAGGTCGTGATGAGATAAAAAAAAATAAAATATAAGGGAATACAAAATATTGGACGACCTGACATGACATGAAAACTTATACATGTGACATACGTGCCTATAAAACCAAAGTGATAACTCATACGCTGAACATAGGCCGATAAGGCCATATGATTTTCATATACATAACATACGTCTACAAGCCTCTAAGAGTACATAGAATCATAAAGGTCGAGACAGTGCCCCACCATGTCAATCAATATATATCTAAAGCATACTGACCAAATAGGCAACTCCGGAGCAAGTGGAGTGCACCAACACCTCCGCTGAGCTGATAGCCTACTAGGAGGAATGTCAACCTATCAATTGGGACCTGCAAGCATGAAACGCAGCGTCCCTAGGCAAAAGGGACGTCAGTACCAATAAAGTACCGAGTATGTAAAGCATAAACAAGAATAGTAATATAAAGAGAGATAGAGGAGATACAATCTGTAACATCTGCGTGCCTCTGTGGGATGCTGACATGAAATGCGTAATACATTTATATACATAACCTTTTAAAAATATATGCGTCTGTAGGCATCATCATCATCATCATCATCATATCATACCCGACCTCAAAGAGGACTCGGTAAAAATGTACCCGGCCATCATAAGGCTCGGTAGAATCGTACCCGGCCACGTGGAGCTCGGTAAATCCAACTGATCAGTGGTTACACAATATATATCATACCCGGCCTACTATAGTGCGGCTCGGTAGAGTAAAATAGATATTATATATAATGCATGCTAAACTCATGGAATCACGTTCTAAACCTTTTGGAGTGACTTAAGGTCGTTGCACCTTCGATTTACATTATGGACATCATACCATCAATATGAGCTTCTATAGGATTCAAGGATCATACATACTTTCTTAGAATAACTTTATAAGGAAAGAACAACATGGGCAACCTTAGTTTCTAGGAGTAGATCTGTTATGAAATAGTGTATTCATTTCACTTTAGATCATGCCAAAAGAAAGAGGGAAGTGCCTTAACATACCTTAACCATGGTGAGTCCTTAATACATCTTAAGCAACTCTTCAAACAACTCAACTCAATCTACCATTGCATAAGGAGATTCAAAATTAGTGTTGAATAAAGGCTAAGTTTGCAACTTAAACTTGTAGCTCATTTATATAAATTCGGGCACCTTCTCCCCAGTAACAAGAGCCTCCTCCAATACCATATACCAACAACAATTACCAGAGAAATCCATCAATACCAATTATCAATAACAAGACACCATAAAACTACAACAAGTCATAACTATTTTACGACGAGCGACAAGCTCCAATTGGAATTCGTATATCCCTTATCATCCCTTATAGACTTTTTACTTTAAATTAATAGTATCATTAACATGATAATGAAGTCATTCATCAATAATTACAACCTTATACCATATATCCATAACAAAGAAAATGATACACAACTCCAATTATTCTTAATTAGCAACTTTATTTACTAGTTCATGTCTACTTCATCCATTTAACTCAACCGATGTCAATATAACCTTAAGCACTTGTTGGAGCACAATATAATTACCTCCTACAGTATATGCAAGTCGAAATCTATATTATATTTAGCTTACAACAGCCCAACACACCCCAATCAATTCATACCAAAAACAACGACTATAGTAGTGTCCAACACCCCGAAAATATTACAAAGAATGACTAATCCATTATTTCACAAATATGTGGTATTTCTTCAAACCATTTATCCTCCAAAAACTCCATTAAATATCAGCAAAAGATACAGCCCAAAAGCTACACGAAATAGCCCACAAAACAGTCCATTACAAATCAAATAACTCGAACTCACGGCTTCCGATCACCTTCCCGTGAGTTCTAAATATTATGAAATGAATTAATCAACCTTACTTGATATTTAAGAGCTTAAAACCAGAAATTAAGAATTTTCTTAACTATTAAATACCTTCCAACACTCAAACTATAAAGAAAAAGAAAGGTTATATAGCAATACTTACGTCGTGGGGATCGTTCTTGTGTTATTGCTTCGTGATTTCGTGCCCGGGATGATGGTATTATTTGAAACCCTTGTAGAGAGCTTAAGGGTGATGTTAGGGGTATTATTTGGTCGTGCTCTCTGGAAATATGCAGAAAGAGACGAGATAAAGGAGATAATCTCCATTTTGTTGAAAAGTCAAAAGGTGCTACTTGGCACCCTATAATTGGCTCGTCTTCCAATGCTTATAACTTTTTATCCGGGTGTCGTATGAGCAAACGGTTAAGAGAGTTGGAAACTACATTCCAAGACCTTAAATTTGATATATAATATGTCCCAAAAAGACCTCATATAGAACACGAAATTTATTACTCAAAAAGCTTCATTACAAGACAAATCCTTAGTCGGTTTTTTCGCAACTTAAATCCAATTTTTTCTCAAACTTTATACTCCATATGCAAACATCATATATAGTCATATCATGGCTTTAAACTCATTTAAATCATGATTAACAAGTCTCATATTTATCTTAACTTGCATAACACTTCGGCAAACCTTTCTTGTCCTTGTAGAAGGATTTCATCCTTTTTGAGTTTGCATTAGATAATCCTATAATGATAGTAACATCTGAAGTACAGGGTGTAACAACATGTACCCTTGTAACATTTATACTTGAATATTAACTCTCAAAGGCTTGCAAAAAAAAATGGGATGTAACACCATTAAATCACTTTATATACTTTCCAAGAGGATCTCATTTCTGAGCTTACATCAACGGACTTACGACGTACTTTCCCGTACAAAAATATGGGTTGTAACATAATTCCCCCCTTTAGAACATTCGTCCTCGAATGTTGACTGATGCGCTTCTTATTATCATACCATATGGCTCTTACGAATACTTTAATATTGTCCTTTGCCATCTAGGCAATTGTTCTATGAAGAAATCCAAAAACTAGGGCATTCCCCCTTTTAGGCCTATTCTCACATCGTGACTTAGGGCCGGAGTTCTTCCAATCTCGTAACTTCGACTACCTTCTATAATGAGTCCTATATGACTATGTCCTTTTATGCACGACTCTTCTCTTTTTTTTCCTCCAGCTTTTTNATAATCTCAAATAGTGTCTTCTCCTTTCGAGGGGTTGTATATCTTTAATGATCTAGCACATGATCTTCATACTGGCATTCCTTCATTTCAGTTACTAAAGATGGGGTTTCCATGTCCTAAGTAGTAACTTTGGTACCACCTGCATCTAGTAATCGAATTCCAAGATTAGCTGGCAGATGAAGCTCGCAAGCTATCTCACTCTTCTATACCTTTAAATATGATAGGCTAAACATAGATCTACGATTGAGGGCGTTGACTACTACATTCACTTTCCCTGGATGATATAAAGTATAAACGTCATAGTCTTTCACTAACTCCAATCATTGCCTCAGATGTAATACATTGTCACTAAGACTCGCGTCTCATCAGGGAACATCTGAAGTGATATTCTTGATGCACCTAGGGATGATACTATACTTCAATAACTGCATTTTCATAACATCCCAACGTATTAATCTTATGGGGGCATTCTAATACCGTGCCATCCATAAAATCTCTTTTCTTTAAATCATTACTCAATCGAAGGCCCAAACGTTATTCTCTTAACAATCACAATTACACCCTTATTCTACTACCAGGGCAGTATTCCATCTCTTCTAATTGCTCATGTTCTTATACTCCTCTAAGTTCATTCAAAGTGTATTGAGCTTTATATAGGTCATGGAAATCATCAGACCTCTTGTTTTGACGGGTTTAATCCTGAGACCTTGCCTATTATTGCCATCTTCTCACTCATATTTACCATACTTACCTTTAAATCTCGCACCGTATATTCTATCAATTTCATAACCTCCCTTCTACATTAGTGGAATTCACATCCATACCTTAAAGCTCTACTATAATACTTGAAACCCTGGTGCATACACAATCTGGTGGGAGCTTCGCATTAACGTCTTATGAGGATGGTACTCTTCTAATTGATTTATCGTAGAGCTTTTATAGAATATGATTGTTGTACTATCTCTTTTATACCTCTACTATTAAAAGTATTCCTGCTATGGTTTGAGTCACGATTTCTATAATCATCTGGGTCTAACAATCGGACTCGTGATGTAACTTTCGAGCTTCCTCTTCCTTATCAGCCTTTAATTAAGCTTAGGCTATCTTCCAATCTTCAGCTTATGGTATTAGATATTACATTAACCCTTCATGGACTCTATGTAGCATCCATGAGATAATCTTTTAACAATTCAAGCCTTTATAGGTGTGTGGACTTAATTCTTTCTTTTAACTTATACTAGAGTCTCCTATAGCTCTATGAATGTCAACATATATGCTGCATGGATATAACTCTGAAGTATTAAGTGCATTCACAACGTAATTAACTCTGGATCATTGATTGAATAATTCCTTTCGTGCCTTCTCAGCGTTCTTTAAATGTAAGCAATCACTTTTCCTGGTCGTTTTGCCACTTGTTGCATGAATACTTGGCTTATTTTATTTCCCACCAATACTTGAATTTCCTATAACTCATTTGATCTCAAATATCACTTTTGACTTCCCGTTCATTAGTCACGATAGGTGCCACTTTCGTATTGAGTGCATACAATGTTGTAGTGGGACTGTTGTTACCCAACCATATCTTCTTTATGTCATTATGCTTAAGTTGAAGCCTTCTTCCTTATTTCCTCAGCTAGTATTTCTTTGTAGTACTTAAGGAGACCTTCTGGATCTTGTAAAGTTACGATCTTTTTATACTATATACCCGAAGGAATTTTCGATATTCTTACTCGCCTACAAACATCCTTAGTTACATACCTTCGTGCCCTTGTACTCGTTGTGTTAATTCTAAACTCAGATTTTGATTATCTCCTTAGTGGCGCTCTCCATTATTTCTGTAACACTTATACAATACCTTTAAATACTCCAACTCCTATCTGAACATTTCTCAAGGTTACGACATCATATCTGTGAGACTGAATTTGATAGATTAGGATTCACTACGTTTATCTTGCATGATCTGCTGATTTGCTTATAACCTCTTGTATAGCCATAACTTGGCTATTCCTAAATCAACTACAAACTACTCCTTGGTCCATTCTCATATCTATATTCTGTGTAATCTCTCTTTAGTTAATTACTTTGTCTTAAGTTACCTCTCACACTGACTCCTTATGTATCAAGTGTTCATTTGTACTTCTTTATCAATCATCGGATGTGCAACCCTTACCGCTTCTCTCCGGTATCATGCTTGCATAATGTTCTGGAGTCATATCATATCTATAGGATCTGAATAGATGCAATCTCATTCCTTTCACCCTTTTGCCGCATTCCTCATTTACTATTCCATAGTTACCTCTTCATTTTGTCATTTTTTTCACATCTTCACTAACATCTTACTCGCCTTGCGGTAACCTCTCTATACCGGGGATAATTGAATTTATTACGCATAAGGGTGACACTTAGTGTAACTGGCACACTTACTCTATTAGGCTTAACTCTGCTCCACGTGCTTGCTTTTGGAAGCATCTTCCTGAATGAACCTTAAAGGTTATTATTTTGTTGTCCATTCTATTATTGTCGGAATGCTATCTCTGAAATTCTCATGATATCAACCATTATTAAATCCTTCAGTCCCTAATTCATGTTCAGTTTATCTTGTTCACCAGCCCATACTGATTTTTATTACTCTGGGGTCTAACCTTTACTCCTTGTAATCACGCTGAAGTCACCAACTCACTTCTCGAAATAAGGATATGACTTTATGGTTTATACTCTTTTATTGCCTCAAGGACTATCACTTCTTGTATTTTCCTTCACTTGACTATAGACTCTATCATCGTGTCATATTTTGATTTACTGTTATCACCCATATATCACATCTTACTCATAATGCTTCATTTACTCTCTTCTTATTCTCCGGATAATACTTTTTGTCTATCACTTTATTCTGAAAATTCCAACAAAAAGTTCTTTCCCTTTTTGCTCCCCTAGCTTCATCTTACTGGCTCTTTGGAATGCCTAACATTCTCCTATTTTGTTTTTACTTAGGGCTAGAGTCATACTAAGGTAAATATTTGTCCCTTTTAGGATCCCACTGCCTATCTTCTGAAATTTCTGAATATTCCAGTATTTATATTTGATTGTACTACTCTAGAGTTCACCATTTGGGTATCTCATAAGGAGATCTATTACCACATTTGCACCATCTTTCGGAAACATTAGTTAATGATAACAATCCATCCATAATCTTTGGGTTACTCAAACCCGAATTGAATCTTGATATCACATTCTTCTCTTAAACTATATTTGTTAGCTCTCATATGGCATAACTCAGATGGGTTTGGCCAATTGTATATATCTCTATAATATTGAAGGTAACACCAATACTTACATTTCTATGCCTGAATTGTAAATACTGATAATCTTCATTAACTAGGTACCTCGTACCCTTCAGCATCTTGCTTGTTTTACTTGGTGAAACTTGTGTCTACTTTCCGATTCTTTTATTCCTTTTTACCATATGAGTGGATACATATTCTTGTCTTAGGGACCCTTATCAAGAGCTTTACACATCTAAATACACATATGATCTGCTGAAGACCTCATATTTAGTCATCATAAACATGATGCAAAATCGAGTTCCTCTGACTCAACTCTTTCGCATCAAAATTCAACCTCTTACCAACTATCTTTCTGGATGTAAGTATCACTGTATTATGAATAAAACAAAATTTAGGAGTTTGAATTCTTATAACAAAGATCTAGCACACGATCTAGAACAAGAAGAAAGAGTGACAATCCTAAATGCCATGTAGCCTCATGCTTATAAGTGTGGTGCACAACACACCTATAAACAAGACTCTACTAGACACAGCTTGTATACTTCCTAGGACAGAACTGCTCTGATACCACTTCTGTCACGACCCAAACCAATGGGCAGTGACGGGCACCCGATACCTTACTTAACCGAGTACCAACATAACGTATCTATCATATCATAATATTATGGGCAAATAACCTAGAAAGGTCGTCATGAGATAACAAAAATAAAATATAAGGGAATACAAAATATTGGACGACCTGACATGACATGAAAACTTATACATGTGACATACGTGCCTATAAAACCAAAGTGATAACTCGTACACTGAACATAGGCCGATAAGGCCATATGATTTTAATATACATAACATATGTCTACAAGCCTCTAAGAGTACATAAAATCATAAAGGTCGAGACAGGGCCCCACCATGTCAATCAATATATATCTAAAGCATACTGACCAAATAGGCAACTCCGGAGCAAGTGGAGTGCACCAACACCTCCGCTAAGCTGATAGCCTACTAGGAGGAATGTCAACCTATCAATTGGGAC